CCCCCCCCCCCCGGCCGGCCCCCGGGGGGGTGCCCGGGCCCTGCCGCAGCCGGCAGGTGCGGGCAGCTGTGAGCCGCGGGCGCGCATGGCCGTAGGGCAGCCGGCGGGGAAGGCCAGGCCACGGAGCAGGAGGACCTGGCTGGACGTTAGCCGCTTGCTGCGGGATGCTGAGGAATTCGCCTCTGCGTTCGCTCTGTTGCTGAGATCAGGGCTGAGAGTGCCAAGAAGCCCATAGATATGTGAAACCTTCCTTATAATTTGCATATTTACTCTTCATGCGATGACTCAAAGCCTGATCTGCGCTGAGGGCATGGGAGGTGATATTGTTGTGTAAGTTGTGAAGTCTCTGGAAAACAAATGATTTGCCAGCAGAGCTGAAGAGCAATTTTGCAGATATAGCTTATACCCGTTCCCAGCCATAATAAGGGAAAGCATTTTTATGCCCCTGCAGCTGTGTCTCCGCAAAGGTTTTGTCTTGGTATAAACATACCTAAAAATAAACCAGTTCTGCCAGTAAGTTCTGGCACCAGCTGAAGTCCCCACTGCGGCCAGCCCGAAAACCCCACCGCAGGCTCTCGGCAGCCGCCCACAGCTGTGCAGGGAGCGCGGCGCAGGAGCTGGCGCGGCTGGCGATGCACAGCCACCATGGCAAGTCCCCGCATCTCACTCCGGCGAGAGGGGGTGCCGAGGGCAGGAGGCGGGGGCCGCTCCCTGAGCTGGATGCTGCCGTTTCTTCCTCTGTTCCCCATCTGTTCCCAGGGCCGCCACGCTTTGCCGGGAGGAGGAGGAGGGTGCTCGCCCGCCCGGCAGCGGGGAGGCGGGAGAGACTGGAGCAGCGGCCCTCTGAAAGGCAGCGGTGCTGCCTTTCGCTTTGCTGCCTGTGCTAGCAGGTCTCGCTCGCGTGGTGTGCCTCCCCGCTCGGGTGCTCCGACAAAAGTGGTGTTTGTGGTCTTCTCATTTTTCCATGCTGGATTCCTCTGTTGCCTGCCATCTGCCTGTTTTCAACCCGTGCTTCCTCCAACAGAGAAATAAAAATGCAGAATTTGCGGCACCGGTTTCCTTAGCAATAATTCCACTGCCAAATGAAGCAGGGAAAATATTATGTGTTTTAAATATCCGAGTCTGGAAGTGAATCCTGTCATCCCTCAGCAGCCCGGCTGGGAGCCTTCCCGTTACGGAAGTTGTACTGGTGCTCTGAGGTCCGAGCGTGGCAGGGAGGGCTCCGGGCTGCAGCCCCCGTTTGCACCGAGTGGTTCTTTGGTGGGATCACCGGGGAGTGGCATTTTCAGACAGGTTTCCACGAGTTCCCCCAGGAGCAGAGGCAGATGCCGTCGCCGGCCGCAGAGCTGATGTGGTGGTTCGTCGTCCGTAAGTAAGAGGAAGGCTGGTAAGCACGTGTCACAAGTGGGGCAAGGCGTGGGGCCGTATTCCCATCGCGGAAGGTTGTGGACGCCTGCGTTTACTGGAGTCTGTGAAACTCCCGGGAGGTCAGTAAACTAGAACGGCGGGTGGCTCACAGGCTCTGCTGGCGTCCGGGAGGAGGTCGGGCTCCCAGCAGGAGGCGGCACCTCAGCACCGGGAATTCTCTGCATTGCTAAACCAGCTCCAGAAGGTAGAGAAAATCCAATTTATGCAGCCAGTTCAGTTCGAAGGCTAGTCATTCAAACTGGAGATCTACTCGGAGTGGAAAAAGACAGAACATGTGGGAGGTTTTCTTCTAACCTGTGTAGAGAATGAGGCATGGGCCGGTGGTATCCAACGGCTATTAAATCTCGGAGATCCCTTAGAAAAGGGCCAGTCAGCAGAGTCTGCAGCTCACAAATAAGCCTGGCTTGGCGTTAGTAGTCAATTGATTTGAAATACAAACTGCTTTGATAAATTCAGTTCTGACTTACCAAAAGAGCAATTTAAAATGTTCACATTTCCATTGAATTTATGGATCTAGTTGAATGCAACTTGACACATATCACAAATAAAATACTAGCACAGCATCTAATAAGTAAGAAATGTGTCATACGCCGTTTTCTAGGTTGTAGAATGGAAAATCAAAACTCACAGCAAACTGTACAATTGCTTCAAAAAAAAAAAAAATGCATATTTGCTAAACAGGAGAAGGTTCTTGCTGACAAAAAGAACTGTCACGTCCTCTGCAGAGGCATCAGCATGGCCGTATTTAAAATGAACACATTCTGCCCATTGCAAAGAGAAGATGTGAAGGTAGGGAACAGTACTGAATGCATTCTTTAGGGAAAATCACTGCAAAGGACAGAGGTAGAAATGATGAAAATTGATTCTTTAAGTAGGGGGATCCTTGTTGCCAAATTAAATTCTGATTACATTTGAAGTTCTATATGACGTTGATTTAAATCAGTCCACCTTGGTTTTCTTTCCGCAGTACCTCATCAGATTCTGTGGAGAGAGCTGGAGGTCCTGGGGGGACCACGAGGGAATCCCTGCTCAGCAGGCATCCTCCTCCAGGGCGCGGGCGAAGGCGAGCCCCTCCGGTCCCTGCCTGGGGGTGGCGGGAGCGGTCAGCCCGGCTCTCGGAAGGAGCCAGCGCGACTCGGGGTGACCCCGGTGGGGGCTCGGGGGCTTGGGACGCTGGAGGGCTGGCTGCCTGGTTCGGCCGCCCACGGGCTGGAGGTGAGGGCGAGCGCTCTGCCGACAGCGCCCAGCGGGACGCGGGCCCTGGGGTTTTCCGTTCTGCGTTAGAAAGCAGAGGCTGGTGAGCGAGGCTCGCAGCGCCCGCCCTGCTGCCAGGCTGCGGAGGGGGTGTCCGTGGGTCGGAGAGGGGCTCTCTCCTTGCCCGAGCGCAGAGGTGAGTGGGGCGTCTGAATATGGCATTGACGTCACTCCCCCCGTCCTGCCAGCGCCGTGCATCCCGTATCGTCTCTCCCTCCAGCAGCTGTCATTTTCCGTTTGAGGCACGGCAGTACCGTTTTGATTGGCCAGGCGATTCCTGGAGATACCTCAGGGACCAAATGGCCGGTTCACACGAGGTGCTCTGGCTGCACCCCGTCACCGGACACAGGTCTGTTTGTGCTGGCCGACCACCCGGCCGCTGCAAGCCTCCCTTGCCCCTGTGTCCTGCCAGGGAATGGCCCCGGAGCAGGTATTGTTCTACAAAGGCTTTGTGAGCAGGAGCAGGGACTACTTGTCTAATTTACAAATGCAGTGCTGGCATTAAGATCCGTGTACTACAAAAACAAAAGGAACATTAATCTGCACGTGAAGGGCGCGTGGGGAGGGTAGCGTTGGTCTTCTGCCCCACGTTGATCTCTGGTTGCACAAGCCCGGCGAGCCCTGGGTGAGGACGGGGATTCCTGCCAAGAGAAGCCCTCCTGCCCTGGGAGCGCGGTGCCGGCGCTGTTCCAGGCCAAGGGGCCGTGCCAGCCCGGGTCCGGCGGCCTCCGGTCCCCCTTCGCAGCCCCAGCACGCCTGGGCTGCCGAGGGGGGCCCCGGCCGGCGCGATGGGAGCTGGCTCAGGCAGGTGATGTTTTGTTACCTCCGGAGATTCGCACTTCAGGTCTGGCTGTTGCGAGAAGCCGCCAAGGAGCTTGCATCATCTCTTCCTACGTGTTTAATAAGTATTGCTGCACTTAGTTCTCACAGAGGGAAAGCTAAACGTCTTCCTATAAAAGCAGGCTGTTAGTACGCGGTGCTACGAGCCTGCGGTACCCTGCTGGGTGCCCGGATGCGTTCTGGGGGACTGCAAGGCACGATGGCAGTGTCCCTTGGAGCATGAAACTTATGGAGCAAGAGTATCTCAGTATTTGGAACGTTCTTTATAGTCACATTTTCTTTCTGTCAGCAGAGGAGATGGATTTGAGAATGGAAGATTATGGTGTGGGTTAAACTAACTTAAAAAATATTAGTCAGGACAGACTGTTTCCTTGGGAAATAAGTAGGGCTCTCGGTGCACCAAGGACACCAAGGTCTTGTCCTTGGAGGCTCCAGGTGACTCTGCAGTCACCAGGACGATGTGGTGCACAGCGCTGATGACCTCGGGGGTGCTCGTCAGGGCTGCAGCCCGCTTGCATTACTCCTGTTTTGCTTTTTGTCCTCTTCGTGCTTTGTAACCAGGTGAGGTCCCATCTTAAGTAACCTTGCAATACGTTTATGCCTTCTCTTTTTGTAGATCCCCTCTCTGTCTGGGGAAATCAAGTGTTTCCTCTGCTCTGAGATGATTTATTTAAGCTGCTCCCTGAGCTCCCTGGCTGGAGATCAGGTTTTGAGGCAGAAGTTTTGGTCTCAGTTCGGTATCCGAAAGCTGCCTGCCACGGAGGCCACCTGTGTGACACAGAGGCTGCAGCGCAGCACACCTGCCTCCCTTCGCCGTTCTACCCTCGTTCTCTGCTGCTCTCTTGGGGATGACTGGAAGGTGAGAGCCAATGATGATCGTTGTGACGTGGCCTCTGCCGCCCACCCCGTCCGCAGGCGTGCAGCGGCGCGGCTGGCCGCGGTGGCCCTGGGGGGCTATCCCCGGGGTGCCGGGCCCAGGACCCTCTCCGAGAGCTTGCTGGTTCTGCCTGCCCTCGCTGCCAGGGATGTTTGGAAAACCCGTTGTCATCTGCTAAAGTTTATTTGAATCCAATGAAGATCAAGTTCCCGTGTGTGTTTACCACGGACTGTCCCTGTTACTTGCACTGTGCACCATGCTCTGCTCTCTCAGCGATGCTATCTCGCCTCTCCGCCTCCAGCACTTACACATGAAAACAAGGCATGGTCGGTTTAGAAACATATTCAAGGCTATTTAGAAAAAAGGAAATAAATTCAGTGTACAAGGCTGCATGTTTATAGATTACAGTGCTCAAAGCATTTTAACAGATGGGATGCTTTAAAGTTTCCGTGCAGGCCTTGTTATCTTAATCAGCGCAGCTTAATGACTGTGGATTGAAGATTGCACCTCCATTGACGGTAAGCCAGTCATTTTTTTTAATACCGTGTTTGAAAATGTCACGCACAGATGATGCCACTTTAAAGGCAACATTTACTACTGATAACATAACAGTATCTCAGAAACGACAGGACTCGAAATGACTGGGCAGGATTCTGTGCCATCCAGGTCTGTGCGCAAGCGCTTGTTCAGTTCATGGCTCCGCATCTTGAGCGTTGTGGCCAGGCAGATTTTTAGATACAGCGTTGTAAAGGTGCAAAACCAGCAGCCACTTTGCCAAAGGGCAAGGTGTGTGACCGAAAGTGCCCTGCTCCGGGCATTC